ACTTTGGTTCAGATTTCAAATATAAAGACAGTAAATCTGAGTTTGTTTTGTTTGAATCAACAAGTTTCATTTATATTTAATTGGGTCAGAACTGGACCAAGACAAATATTTGGTGAGGAAAATCATGAAACCGAAAGTTAATCCAGTGAAAGATAAAGTCCAACTTCCTGTGAGCTGTTAATATGTAAACGTTGGTTCTGCTGGACCAAACGGGTTTGGTTTCCCCACACTGGTTTTATTCAAATTACATTGTTTATGTGGGAATTTCTGACATTTTTCTGAATGTTCCTGAAAGTTTATCTGGACCTACAATTGTAGGAAACCAGAACATTCAGTTTCTCTGAACTGTCCGTCTTCGTTTTGAGCGTTTTACTTGTGACCCGCTGAGTTTGAGACCAAACATCTGGCAGGTTTTACAGTTTCTAATCTCAGTAAATTATCCTGCAGATTGCTCTTCAGTTTCCGAACCGGTTCTGGGACTCAAAGATCCAAGGAGCGGATTATTTTGGTCACATCCCGCCGTGTCCAGAGAAGAGAGGCATGTTCAGCGTCTTCTACGACCTCGACCCACAGGTTGGCACTTTACTCACTTTACGCTATTAACTGGGTTTTATTGAACGACTTTACTGAATCGACTTCAGATGATTTCTGGTTTTAGCAAGAAATTATTCCTAAAATCCTCAGTTTCTCTCAGGTTCTGCTCATATATATATATATATATAATAATATATATATACAATAATTTGCAGTTTGTGCATTTAAATCTCAAATATATTCTGGCATCAACTCTGATAAACTCTTGCTCTCCTGTATGGAAACCCAGGATGACTAAAAAACTTGCAACGTTTGTTGCGTCTTTCACAAACAAAGTATGTGTGAAAAATGTATCAAACCAAGGTTATTATAGTTAACTAAAACTAACAAAATAACAAACATTGAAATTGGGAAAAAATTTTCGTTAATTGAAATAAATAAAAACTGTAATTAACGGGCAAAAACTATAAGTTCTACATTGTGCTTTTATAAAACTAAAACATACAGGAGTTATAGATGTAATATCCTTCATTTTCATGTTTATGTATCAATTTATTAGCTTTTCAAACTGATGTGATTTATTTTTTCACACCCAAGCCATTTACTCAGCTGTTGACAAATTACAGCACTCCATAATCCTCCTAACGCTGGTCTGCAAAATGGGAACAGCAAAAGTTGGATAAAACCCCAAAGTCAGTGGGTTATTCTACAATAGTTAATTTTTTTTTTTGAAAATCGTGTCTTCTGTTGAGTATTTATTACCCAGTCAATGTAAACATAATCACAATACTTTGACCTTTTTGAATTCTGCACCTAAAAATTAACCAAAATATGAAAAGACTGTAATTAATGCTGTAGCTCATAAAAACAAAGTAATATTTAACTAACAACTAATAAAACTTAGCAAACACACTCTAAAAACTAACTGAAATAGACAAACAAAAAGTCACAAACTAAATTAAACTAAACTATAATAAAAAACTAAAAACCATTATAAACCTGGTGCAAACAATTGTGTTCATAATTTGAAGTCAATCACAGACGGTTTCCGTTTAACATCAATGAAAAAGAAACGATCAAAACCAGCAACTCAGAATACTGCCCCTAGTGGCAGAAATGACAAAACATCAAGACTGAAGAAAAACGAAAGCATAATTCATCTGAATTTTGAAGCATAGAAAAATGTTTGCTTTCTGCATTTCGGGTGGTATGTCAACACTTCCTGAGCTGCAATGAGAATATGAGAGCTTGAGACTCTGCAGATATTTAATCTGTCAAAACTGTTTTTGTGTTTTTGGTGACGACCAGGGGAAACAGGCTGTGCTGATGTCCATCATGTCTGGTGACGCGGTTTCTGCCGTCGGGGACCTGGAGGACTCGGAGGTGGTCGACGAGTGCCTGAAGGTCCTGCGAGAGCTTTTCACAGACCAGGTATCAACCTTCGGCGAGCACAGCAGGATGTCTGGACTTTGACTAGACCATCACAACAGATTAGTTGTGTTGTTCTGGGTCATTGTCCTGTGATGACCCAGTTTGCACCAAGGCAGATGTCTCTGGGACAATTTGTTCTGCAGAGGAGATCAGTGTCCACTCAGTGGCTGCAAGGTGTAGAATAAGCCCAGATCACCATCCCTCCACCACCGTGCTGCACAGCTGGTCCAGAGGACATTGTCCCAGTATTCCTGTCCTTCATCCAGGTTCAGCTCTGCTAAGCTCAGTTTGGTGGCCATCTTGTTTCTAGAGAGAAAAGGCTTTCTGATTCAATCCTTTCTAGCAGCCATGCTGGTTCAGGGTCACGACCTTTGACCTGTAGCCTCCTAACTGAGGCCTGCAGAGTTTGAGATGGAGCTCTGTTTCTGGTCATTTCTGAGTTTCATGTTCTGACCTCTGACCTTAGGCTGAATCTGCTGAACTCCTTCTTGTTTCCAAGAGCTTCTCCTCTTGGAAACAATCATTTTTATATTAATCTGTACATTTTTGATTACTATTTTATTAGTTTTTGTCTTGGGAATAATCTTGCTCTCTGGAGAATGATGAACTTCAGATGGCTTGGAGATGACCTTTAACCTCCGCCAGGTTGATGGGCAGCAACAGCTCTTTCTCTGAAGTCATTGCTGTTTTCTTACCGTCTTTGTGTTTAAACACACGTTTGTTTCAACGCAGCGACTAAAATGCTTCTTTTATGGAAATCAGACGGACTTTACCTGCTTTACTGCACCTGGATGTCACTTGTTACCATTTTTTGACAGGAAGTTCCTGATCCGCTAAATTATTTTGTGACACGTTGGAGCAAAGATGTGTGGGCCCAGATGTCATACAGCTTCGTGAAGACAGGGGGCAGCGGAGAGGCCTACGACATCCTGGCAGAAGACGTGCAGGGAAAAGTTTTCTTTGCAGGCGAGGTAACGCTGCTTCCCTCAAAATGTTTGTTTTTACTCTCGTTAGCAGAACTTCATCCATCCATCCATCCATCCATCCATCCATCCATCCATCCATCTTCTTTACACCCTTGTCCCTTAGTGGGGTCGGGAGGGTTACTTTATCCATTATAATTATTGATTTTAATCATTTTTATGTATAAATGATGTGAAGCTCAGAGTTAAATGCAATAAGAAACCTAAATTCTTATGTTGCTAATTAGCAACACCAGGCACTTAAGGAATGAAACAAACTTTTTAATCCTAAATACATTAAATCCCATTGCTGCACAATCCCAACAGCTTCCAGCCTAAAATCAGTTTACAGTTACACCATGCGTCGCCCCTTTGCCCAGTTTTAGCTTAAATTTAAGAGGTCTTTTTGACCTCTTAAAATGCCCAGTCATGCATCTTTATACTACAGTCACCGAAAAAGCTACAATCCAAAGACAACCTGCATAATTGTTATAGGAAAGGCACATTTAAAGATTAATCCCAGAAGTGCAGGAATTTAACATTTTAAAAGTTAAAACCCGTTTGTCACATTTCTTCTTCTCTTCAGGCCACAAACCGACACTTCCCTCAGACGGTGACCGGAGCCTACCTCAGCGGCGTCAGAGAGGCCAGCAAGATGGCCGCCGTGTGACTGGACCGCCCCGCCGCTCTCTGAATCACCAGCACCAACTCGAACCCCGTACTCACTGTGACAGCCGTCTCTGCTGCCGGTTCCGGTTCTGGTCCGGATCTGCAGCTCATTTCCACCAGAGAAATGCTGTTTATTTATGTCATTTGATGCAAACTCTGTATAGATTCATCAGAAACACAATGAACAATGATACTGAAATGTGGGTGAACTCTCAGGCGTCCCATCATCACTGAACAGATTATTCAAAGTTTTCCCAGTTGTAGAAATTTCTGATCTGTAGTTTTTCTAGTCGATGTTCAATGATGAGTTGTTGATTTAGTCAGAGTGATTCTTCCGCAGCACTTTTGATTTAAAACGGTAAGTTTCTTACCAAGTGGACCTCAGCATTCAGAATACAACAGACTCTTCTGTTTCTTTCTCAGGGATCTTATCAGGAAGTGCTGACCCTAAAACATCGGATGGTTTTCAATATATGGGCATAAAAACGACGGAAATTCTTCCTGAAAAGTGACGTTCCTGAGATTTGGAGAAGTTCCTCACTTTCTCTCCATTAACTGTGACTAACGAGGATTCATGTGACTTCATGTCCTGTTTGTCTTGTTTGTGTAATAAACCGAGCTACAAACTGCCACAAAGATCAGCCCAACTCCTGCTGTAACATTTAAATCATCCTTTCAATTATAAGATGGAAACATACTTGAGTCACTGATTTTAAAACCTTAGCTAATCAATACAAAAAAATCGGGTTTTGCCATCAATCTGATAGTAATTAAAGATTGCACATTTGAACACTGAAGCTGTGAAATTTTCAGTCTGATGCTAATTAAGGACATTAGGCATTTAAGGAAACAACCTCTTAATAAAATGCAATTCAAAAATACTTGAAATACTGAAAAACTATTAGTGTGACTATAAATATATTTTAAATATTTTATTGATGCTGCTAATTTGAAAACAAGACTTTGATATCAAGTCTAAATATGTTTTTTAAAAACATTTTAATCATTCTAATGTTTCAACTATAGCTAAATACTCTAATATGTATTTTTGACAAATAAAAGATGCCTAATTGTGCATCTTTATAATCTCTTTGTGTTCCGAGATCTGCTGTGGAACCTCTGAAGATTATGGTGCAAAGAATATTACAACCTGGAGCAACCTTGTTATTAAACTGTGATACAACCATCCAGTCAGAGGCTTCTTTAGCGATGGTGGTGTACTGACTGCTACAGGAGATGCTTCTTAGTCACAGCCATTAGCATCTACAACAACTTTTTGAAGATATTTTGGTAATACGAGTTGAAACATTAAATTTCCCTTTAAGATTAATAAGTACTTTTTTGAATTGAGTTGAATTTCACAGTTTTAACTAAGATTTTGTTGCTAAGCGACGACGACAGACCGAGTGACGCGTCATCAACACCCGCCGCCCGCCTTTTTCTGTTGGAGCTAACCGGAAGAAAACAAAGCAGTGATTAACGTAGTATTTACTGCGGCAGCTGGCGGATTTTAACCTTTTCCTCGGGGTTTCATGAGCCCGTAGCCGTGTGTGCTGTTCGGTGGAGCACCGCAGGGAGCGGTGGGGTTGATAAAAGCGGTAAAACCTTCCGTGATGAAAGTGAGACAGACCGTGAGGATGGACTCCAGCACTGCTAGCAGCATGGTGGCCCACCGATCTGCAGGTAGCCGCTTCTACTCATTACTACAGCACAAACTGGGAGGAAATCACTCCGCTTAGCTGCTCTCACCAACAAAGCGGTTGCAGATGTGCAGAAAATAATTTTCAGGTCGAGTGAATCCCTTGGTTTCTCATGGATTCATGAGATGCATCCACTCATCCTCCCAGGAACTGATGTGCTGTTTTAGTAAAATCACAGCAACACTGGAGCTGAAACACTCTCTGCAGACGTGCATTTGAAAATAATAATGGCTTGTTTTATGGAAATATAATGCAAATTTTGCTGCAATCCAAACCCAGTATACATTTAGATTTATAACAGCTTTTATTCTCTCTAAAGAGGACTTGGCCCAGTGATGCTGTGGGTCATTGTGTCTTAGAGTCTCTATTTCTGCTTTAACCTGGTTAAATTCTTTGTTTTTTCTAACTATAGACTAGAAACTAGCCCACATGATTAACTGGGATGAATCAGTAAATTATTGCCAAATTATATAATTAACTCTTAAATAAAGTTGCACTGATTGCAATTTTCAGGCCGATCAATGATTTTTAAAAAGCTTGACTTTCCGATTTTTAAAAATAAGTGACACTGTGAGGTGTTATAAAGTCACAATACAACTATTGAAGCAGATCCACTGGCTTCATTTGATAACTTTTATAACTGTAATAATTATGGTTATTCTTATGCCAATATGATATAACGATATTATCGTGACTGCAATAACTTCTGGAACAAGATATTGCCCAGAAATATTTATTATAATTACAGGCTTAATTAGGATCAATATGGACTTTATTAAAGCAAATTTTATTATGAATTTAATTTGCAACAGTTCTGTCACCTTAAATCTTTCTGGACAATACTTCCCAGAAGTTATTATGATAAACGATAATATAATGGTAATGGCATAATTATGCAAGAACACATTGTCAAAGATCTATAAACTTTATATTCTAATAAAATTTAACACTGGAAGACATTATTATTGAGCTTGTTTTAATTTGTCATGTGATTAACTGATTTATTGATTAATGCAACAGGCCTAGCAACAAATGTCTCAATAAATTTAAAAATTGCTAAAAAAATTTTTTTATCTATTTCTGTGCATCATTTTCAAACAAACCATTGAAAAAAGCTAATTTGATGGTACTCTTGCTTATTATGATTTACTTTTGAATACTACAGTTTTATTTTAATAATTGTAATGTGAATTAACAGTAATTTTCCTGTTATTTTTTGGTTAACCAATCAGGGAAGGAAAGCTCCAGCTCTGATGAAGAGGAGTTCGTCCCGCTGTCGAAGCTCCTCATGAGGCCGCAGAGCGACGACAAGAAGTCATGTGACAACGCCCAAGGCAACGCCAACTCAAAGAAGAGCGGAGGTGACGCCGACAAAGCACTTTATTTAAAGCAGGCAGGGGTGTCCAAAGGGCGGCCCGGGGGCCACATGTGGCTGCTCGAGTGATTTTGTGGGTCCTCCAAATGCAATTAAAGAATGATACAACTTTGTCCTGTCCATCTCAGGTACAGACTCAAACTGTTTATTTTTATTCAGGGTAAAATTATTACCAACTTAATTTTCTCACAATAGAAAAGCACAACATAGAGTATTTGTATTTTTATAAACAATTTTTATTATGAGTAGAACCACAAATATGTGGAGACTTTTACTGACAAATTGCTGTACATAATGTACTAAACTTTAAGCATTTTGAAAGAAAGTGACTCAAATTATTTTCGTACAACAGAATAAATTTGTTCAATAAAGTCCAAAAGTTTGAAAACTAGATGAAATTTCTTTTAAGTTTTGGATCTACAGTCGATTACATTACGTACTTTTCTGCAAAAAAACAACAAAATGAATCAGCTTTAATTGCTTAATTTTATTTGAATTTTTCCATTATTATTTTTTACTGTTGAATCTTTCCATATCTGTATTTATTTTTCACATCTATATTTTGGATTTTGGCCCGTGTGATAAAAAGTTTGGACACCCCTGCTTTAACGAGAACAGGTTTCAGTTCGGATTTTTTTAACGTTGGATTACTTTCCAGCTTCGGATAATTCATCAGACGACGAGCCGCCAAAAAAACCAGCAGCGACAGAGAAAAAGGAAACTTCTCCTGCCAAATCTGACGCCTCAGAGGCCAGACACTCCGGTGACTTCGCCTCGCATCCCGTTTCTGCAGCCCCGCTCCTGGAGGCCGGTGTGAATATTTATTTAACTTTTTTTTCTCCTCAGATTCCAACGCAGCTGACGACTCCGATAACGAGCCTCAGGTGAAAACATCCAAACCTTCAGCCAGATCAGCGAAGAGGAAACCAGCAGGCAGGAAGAAGAAAGGTGGGATTACGTTCTGTCGGCGCTGCTTCATTTCGGATCGTTGTCCACATGATCATTCCTCCACCACCGTGCCTCATGGATGAGTTCTTTAGTGCTAATTTTTCTGTCTTTAGCTTCAGATGATTCCTCGGATGTCGAGTCGCTACAAGAGAAGAAGAAACCAGCAGCAAAAGACAAAACGGATTCTTCTCCTCCCAAATCTGACGCCTCAGAGGACAGGAAGTCGGCTGACGACTCCGATAACGAGCCGCTGGTGAAAACATCCAGACCTTCAGCCAGATCAGCGAAGAAGAAACCAGCAGTCAGGAAGAAGAAAGGTGGGATTTCTTTTCTACGTTGTTTCAGATCACCGTCATGTTTTTATAAGCTAAAAAATGCCAAAGCATCATACCTCCACCACCTAACCTCACAAATTTTTCTCTTTAGCTTCAGATGACTCCTCGGACAACGAGTTGCTAAAAGAGAAGAGGAAACCAGCAGGCAGGAAGAAGAAAGGTGATAAAACTGATAAAGTCAGAAGTTGCTTTTGAAATGTGGTTCACCAGAATAAACTAGAAAAATAAACAGTTATTTTCTGACTCATTTTGCAAGAAGCAGATGATATCTGCCATGTTTGCTTAAAGGCACAAAGCTACTGCTGCAAACTGTAGAGCAACTTTCTGGAGAAAAACATTTTTATTAAACTCTTTAAGACAAAAAAACGAGGAAATCATCAAAATGATCAGTCATCTAAAAAATAATGGCTTGTGACTGCAAGCTGTTCAGGAGCGGTGGCAAGACATCATTCCTCCACCACCGTGCTTTAGCTACGTTCTGTTTGAATTGTTTCTCGTAGCTTCAGACGACTCCGACGATGACGAGCCGCTGACCAAGAAGAAGAAACCAGCAGCAAAAGACAAAAAGGAAACTTCTCCTCCCAAGTCCGACGAGTCAGAGGACAGAAACTCTGGTGATCCTTCACACATCCTCATGTTTCTGCAGCTCAGCTCCCTCAGGCTGCTGTGAATATTTATTTTTCTTTTGTTTCCTCAGATTCAAATGCAGATGATGACTCTGACTACGAGCCTCAGGTGAAAACATCTAAACCTTCACCCAGAGCAGGGAAGAAGAAGAAAACCCCAGGAAGGAAGAAGAAACCAGCGGGCAGGAAGAAGAAAGGTGGGATTACTTTCTATCTTCTTCTATTGCTGCTGCTTCCCATGTTAGCAGCTGTCTGGAACGTTTTCTCTGCAGCATAATCCTCCTTTATTAGTTTATTTTTACATTTTAATTTTTTTTATTTACTTATTGACATTCATATTGATGTATCTGGTTTGGTTCAATTATTTTCTTGCACTCAGTAAATTTATTTCATGTTTTTATTTTAAACATGTTTGAATACAACAGTAGCTTTCATGAATAAACTGTATTATTTTGCAAAAAATGTAGAACTTTTAATACATGTAAGCTATTTTTGCTCACTGAATGCATTTTCTATGAAAATCTTCCATTTAGCAGAGCTAACATATCACACATTACAGGCTTTGTCATTTTTCCTCAGGGACACTAGGGCAGTTTTAAAACACAATCTGGAACGTTTAAACATAAACATGCAGATCTAACTACATTAGATCTGACTCTATTAACCTAAAATGTGGCAGAACCAACCCAAAATACTAGACTAGATGCTAGCTGCTAAGCTAGCGGGAAAGCTAACATGTTACAACAGTTCACTCCCAAAACGTGGTTTACATAGGACTAGTTAGTGTTGTAAGAAATTTTGCATGATTAAATCTTCATGGGAATCATATATGCTTGACGGACGTTATCAACCCTTAATCAAAGAAGAATATGACGAACTGTTTACGTCTTGTTTACTTCTTCATGTTTCCCAAACAGCCGACTTACGAGAAGCACTGCCACCCTGTGGTCTAACTAGGTATTACACGTCCATTCAATACTTTCAACTGAATTTTTATTGTTATATTATCAAAAAAACAAAACAATGTTATTAAATGTTGAATTCATGTTAAAGTACATTCAAATACATAGCTTAGAAATAAAATAAATATACATAAAATATCTGATTAATCAGAAATCTCATAAAGACCTTTTCTTTGGACTATTACATCTTTACTTTATCACTGAGAATACCTCACACAAGAACAGTGCAATTAACAGTGTGCTAATGTGTTTACATAATTCTTTTTAATCATTAAAAGTTCCTTCAATTTGATTTTGTATTTAGTTTTTGTCATAAAACTTTAAAATCTTGGCTTCACCTTTCTTCTATGAAGACATTATGGGTTCTGTTTGTGTTTAGTGCTGAGTTTTCTATCTTCAAATCATTTCTCGTAGCTTCAGATGATTCCTCAGATGACGAGTCGCTACAAGAGAAGAAACCAGCAGCAAAAGACAAAACGGATTCTTCTCCTCCCAAATCTGACGCCTCAGAGGACAGGAAGTCGGCTGACGACTCCGATAACGAGCCGCTGGTGAAAACATCCAGACCTTCAGCCAGATCAGCGAAGAAGAAACCAGCAGGCAGGAAGAAGAAAGGTGGGATTAGTTCTTCTACTACTTTGCCCTCTTTCTTTTTGACTTTCCTTTTCTACACTTTCTTGTTTCTTCTTCGCTTTTGTCTTTGTTGTTAAATTCGTTTTCGCTTTCTTCGCTTTTGTTTTTCTCTTCTCTTCTTCACTTCTTTTTGTTTCTTCGTCACTTTTGTTTTCTTCATTTCTGAAGAAAACAAAAGAAGAAA